CTCGACCTGCTGGGCTCCGGCGATCCTTCCGCCTCAGCCTTCCAAGTAGCTGGAACTACAGGCACGCGCTACCACACCCAACTAATTTTTTATTTATTGTAGAGATGAGGTCTCACCAAGTTGCCCAGGCAGGTCTTGAACCCGCGGGCTCAGGCAATCCACTCACTCCTTGGCCTCCCAAAGTGCTGGGATTACAGGCTGAGCCACTGAGCCCTGCCAAAGATTTGTTTTTTTACCGTACATATTAGCAACCTCAGCATGCAAGTTTTTTCTTTCCTTATTAAGAACATTCACCTTTTCCCTTATAGGAAGCATTTTACAGCTTCTCTTTGGCATATTGGAATTGCCAGCATCACTACTCTTGTGCTTTAGGGCCATTATTAAATAAGCGTTGCTTGAATCTAAGTGCTGCAATGCCACAACAGTCAATCTGATAGCTGAGAGGGCTACAATGGCCAGGTCATGCAGACAGCCTGGATACACTGGACAAAGGTATGATTTACATCCCAGGCAGGGCATAGTATGATGACTGGAGACCTCATCATGCTACTCAGAATGGCATGCAGTTTAAAGCTTATGGAATGTTTCTGGAATTTTTCATTTACTATTTTCAGACCACGAGTAACTGACCACTGCAGAAAGCAAACTCTCAGATAAGGGCAGGGAACCACTGTGTGTGTGTGTATGTATAGAGAGAGAGAGAGAACGAGCATGCGCGCACAGGTGAGGCAGAATGATCATTGGTCAGTCTGAGTGGGGTATGGAAGTACTGGTTGCAGTGATGTTTCAGTTATTCTATAGATTGGAAGTTTCAAAATAAAAAGTTTGGGCAGAACATTTTACTAATACTGTAAAGCACAGCTCCGAGTTTGTCTCTTACAAAGAATTTCTTTTCCCAACCACATAGCTAGATACGATTTTCTTCTATATTTTTTTTTTTTTTTTTTTGACTTGGGATCTCACTCTGCCACCCAGGCGGGAGTGCAGTCTCATAATCACGACAATCACAACTACCACAGCCTCGACCTCCTGGGCTCAGGTGATCCTTCCCCCTCAGCCTCCTGAGTAACTGGGACTTTAGGAGCGTGTGCCCACACCCGGCTAATTATTTGGTCCTTTGTAGAGACAAGGTCTTGCTATGTTGCCCAGGGTGGTCTTGAACTCCTGTGCTCAAGTGATTCTCCCTCCCCAGCCTCCCAAAGTCTGGGATTATGGGTGTGAGCCACCGTACCCAGCCTAGATGTGATTTTCTAATATGAATTTTAAGGATTTTTATGTTATGGTCCCCAAACCTGAATGCATGTGATAACTACCTTGGGTTTATTTTTTATTTTATTTTATTTTACTTGCAAATTCCCATAGCTCCCTGAAAGCCTATGGAGACAGACTCTCAGGGGACAGGCCCAAGTGTCCAGAATCCCGGGTCTGTATTTACTCTGTATAAACCCACCTGACCACCGTTGGAACTGAGAAGCAGCCCCTGAGTGTTGGTCAGCCCTTCGTGTTCCTGGCACTGGCATGATGCCTTCCATACAGTAGATGTTGGTAAATACGTAGACTGTATATGTTGATAATCTGAAGAGATTACCAGAAATTTCTCTAGCTTTGAGAGACTACAAAAGAAACCCAGCTGATACAGTGCTTAGCTAGTTCAGATCCAGTAACTTTACTGAAAGCTATATATATAGTCGTAAAACTACAGGTGTGGTTTATAGAAATAAGATGTTATCAGTAAGTGTTGAGGATTAAGTATTAACAGTGGTTATCAGAGTTGGGTTATATTACGTCTGCCAGAACCGACTTTGCTTCAGCCTACTGGGTTGTCTTGCATCATACCTTGTTGTCACCTCACAGACGTTCAGGGAGGCGGGAAGCATCCAGGGAGGCTGCTGGAGCTTGAGTCTGGTGCAGCCGAACAGGCTGGAGAGGATTACATCACCACTGTTACCTAGTGTTCACCCAACAAGCTTTCCCCCCACCTACCCAAAATTTCTAAGACTCCGAAAGGTGAGATTTTGGAAGTATTGTTGAAAATGAGCGACTTTTTAAATGACTGTGTTAAAAGGGACGATCATATTTCATTTATCAGATTAGCAAACACAGAGTAGCAAGGCTTCTGGAGACTGACATGCCCTGCTGCTGGCTCCGTGGCTCTCTACTCTGCTGAGTGTGGCACTCAGTGTGTTGTTCATGGGGACTGTGTGCTGCCTGCAGAAGAGATAACATGGTTAGCCTCACGGCCAGTGTGATTTTGAAGTGGGCTTGGGGTTGAGCATAAGGGCCCAGAAGGTAAAAAAGAAAAGGGGGGATGAAAGGGAGAACTGAAGCACTACACATGGGAGTTGGTTTTCTTTAGCTCTGGTGACTCAGGCTGTGTGTGACTTAACGATTGTGACTGGTTTTTTATTTCCTGGTGCTTAACTATTGCAAGACTGTACATGTCAATTTTAAAAAACATACATTTTTTAAAAGTTAAACATTGGGGTTCTCCCTCCTCCTCATTATTTGTGTTATAATCAACACCAAGTTACTGTACCACCATTTACTAAGTATAACTGATTATGAATTTGATTGAAGTCAGTAGACTTGATGTCTGTTCATGGATAAATTGTAAAATTATTCCCTGATAACAAGCTTATCTGCATTCTTAGTGACTTGGTAAAGATTATTTACATCAACCCAATTCCTCTCAATACAAAATTAAGAATGTTTAAGATGCCCATTTCTCCTGAGAGAAACGAGAGAATGAGAGTTGTCAGTTTTCTAGTTTGGCTTTCATACCTTAGAAGTCCTTGGAAACTTATGTTGTGAGTTCTGAATCATGCATATTGCTGTCTTTCAGGATTTCTCTCTGGTTAGGCAGACAGTTCAGGACACAGAATCTAAGGATGAATGTTCACCGTGGCAGTGATAGCGACAGGTCATTGCGGCAAGAGGCCAGTTGCCAAGTGGATGATACCTCAGGAGCAGCCCAAGAAAAAGAAACAAATAACCCGACTTCCTCTGGTCCTCATAATCTGACTTATCCCCTGGTTTCCAGGAACGAAGGTACAGTGATTTGCTTTTGACCTTATTTGGGGGACGCTTTCTGACACTTGAGTATCTACCCAGGAGACATGAATGTTCTTAATCTAAATAAAGTATCCGGTTCATTAGCTTGGCTTGCCTATCACAATTAGATAAAGCTGACCTTCACAAAAACCTCGACTTATTTAATCAGTCTAGCATGTCTGGCTTGGTGGTAATGATGTAAGAGAAACGGCTACAGGTCTGGAGCTAGAAGATATCTTCAAATCCTAGCTCAGCTACTTATTAGCTGTTACCATGGATGAGGTCCGTAATCTTTCTGAGCCTTGATTCTTAATATACAAAACAGAGATCGTAATATTCTTTCTGTGTCATGGGGCTGGTGGATTAACCAAGGTGTGAAAGCTCCTCATAAGCTGGTAGGTTCTTTTTAACTTTTAGAAAACAGTAGCAAAAATAATAGCGCCTGTAATCCCGCGCCTTTGGGAGGCTGAGGTGAGTGGATTGCCTGAGCCTGTGGGTTCGAGACCCGCCTGGGCAACTTGGCGAGACCTCATCTCTACAATAAATCAAAAACTAGCCGGGCGTGGTAGTGTGCGCCTATAGTTGCAGCTACTTGGAAAGCTGAGGCGGAAGGATCGCCGGAGCCCAGCAGGTCGAGGCTGCGTGGCCGGGAGCGACCACTGCACTCCAGTCTGGGCGACAGAGTGAGACTCCAACTCAAAAAAAATAATAATAATAATAGCAACTGCCATTTTTTTTTTTTTGTACACGCACTGTACCAAGAGCTTTACATATATTCCTTACATCAGGGTGGCAAACTAGTCCAATTTGGCTGTTTTTGTAAATACAATTCTATTGAAACACGGCCATCTTGTCCATTTGTTTACATATTATCTGTGACTGGTTTCCTGCTGTAGTAGTAGCAGAGACTGTTACCCACAACACCTAAAATACTTACTTTCTGGCCCTTTACAGAAGGTTTGCCGATGAATCAACTCTAGATTGAGATTGAGCCTCACAGCTGTTATCCTTGTTTTTTGTTTTGTTTTGTTTTTTTGAGTTGGAGTCTCACTCTGTCGCCCAGACTGGAGTGTAGTGGCTGCTCCCGGCCACCGCAGCCTCGCCCTGCTCGGCTCCCGCGATCCTTCCACCTCACCCTTCCAAGTAGCCGGAATTACAGGCGCGCACTACCACGCCTGGCTAATTTTTTATTTATTGTAGAAGTGAGGTCTCGCCAAGTTGCCTAGGCGGGTCTTGAACCCGCGGACTGAGGCAGTCCACTCACCTCAGCCTCCCAAAGCGCAGGATTACAGGCTGAGCCACCGAGCCCAGCTTATTCTTGTTTTAAAGGTGAAGAAACTGAGGCTTAGAAAGCTTGGGTAATGTGCTCAGGTCACACTGCTAGCTAGTGAGCTGGGATCGAATCTATAAGTAAAAATAATTTTTAAAATAAAAACACTTTTTTTAAAAGACTTGGAAAAAAGATAGAATAATGTTAATGAAACTTTCCAAGTCTGGGTGATGGGACATAGGTATTGTATTAAGTTTGTGCTTCTATATGTGTGAAATTTTTCATTAAAAACTTTTTTTACATCAAAATATTTTTAGGAGACTGCCTATTTAAAAGAACCCTCTGGTAATCCTTTTGTAAATACTATTTTAAGAGACAGAGTTTCACTCTTGTCACCCAGGCTAGAGTTCGGTAGTGCTTATCATGGCTCACTGCAGCCTTGAATTCTGGCTCCAGTGATCCTTCTGTCTCAGCCTTCCAAGTAACTGGAACTACAGGCGTGCACTACCACGCCTGGCTAATTTTTGATTTATTGTAGAGATGAGGTCTCGCCAAGTTGCCCAGGCGGGTCTCGAACCCGCGGGCTTAGGCAATCCACTCACCTCAGCCTCCCAAAGGCGCGGGATTACAGGCTGAGCCACCGAGCCCAGCTTATTGTATATTTTTAAATGCTCTCATATCCTTAATTTCAGTTGATAATCAAAACAACTTCTGAGGTAGATGGAATGAATATTATTATCCTCATTTTACAGACAATGAATCAGGTTTAGAAAAACTTAATAAACTGCTTAAAGAAAATAGCTTTGTGGTGATACTAAGACAAAAGCTGAGATTCCATGAATGAAGCCTAATGCCATTTGCACAGGAACTTTTCTGCTGAGAATAAGACCTGCTTTTTTGAAAAATGGTGCAAGTGATGGTTAGGGTTCTCCTGTAGTGAAAATGCCTTTTTCTTTGACTTTCTAGGAAAAGTGTTACATTTGAAAATTAAAGATTATCCTTTCTGGAAAATACAGTTTTAAAACAATTTTTGAGGACTGTGAAAATGAATAGTTTTGGCCCACAGCAGTAATAGGTGTCTTAAGTAAAACACAGGAAGTGTGAGTATTATTTAGAGATATAAGTAAAAAGTGATCGATTGCCTCTGGACTAACACTGGGAAGTACAGCGAGTGGAGGGGACTGCTGGGTCGCCACATACACTATTGTCAGTTTAATGTTTCCAACCATATACATCGTTTACGCGAGACCTTTTCTCTCCTTTTATTTTAAAGTGTGGGCATTCCTGCCTTCATTCCCCACTCATCCTGCATACACATGGGAAAAACTTGGGTCTTGGGGGGTTTTGTCTGTTTTTTACTTGCTCTAGGCAAGAGATTTTGCCCATCAACACCTAAAAGCTTGTGTTTTTTGTTTATTTGTTGTTTTAAAGACAGGATTTCTTTTTCTTCCAAGGCTTTTGCTCTCAAGTGATTTCTGGTTCCTTGGTATATTCTTTTAGACCTTGCACTTGACTATGCCTCTCAGCCAGCAAGTCTTCCATTCCCTCACATCATGCCACTTCCCGAAGACATCAAAGGCTCTTGCTTCCAGAGTGGGAATAAAAGGAACCACGAACCCTTTATTGCTCCAGATAGATTTGGAGGCAGCATTGTGGGCTTTGGCAGTAACTCCCATTCCCAAGCACCGGAGAAAGTGACACTTCTTGTAGACGGCACACGTTTCGTTGTAAATCCACAGATTTTCACTGCTCATCCGGATACTATGTTGGGAAGGTAACTGATGATGATTTCTTTCCAAATTCACTCTGTTCTTTATAAATAGAAATAGCTGCTGTTTATCTTGCACTAAATGTAAGGATAAAAAACACTGCATTGCTTCTTTTTCGACCTTTCATACATTTTTGAAAGGGGGAGGCAAGCTGATAAAAACCTAATGTATGTTGGGGCAGGGGTAGTATACTCGATTCATTTCAAAGCCAGTATAGTAAAATGAGCATCCACAAAAGGAAGTAAAATCTACTTGAAACTATAAAGAATAACCTGTGGACTCTCATTCCCTACTCTGCTAGAAACTCACTCTAAAATAATGTTTTCTGAGTTTCACAGATCAAAGATGCTGGGGGGGTAAGGTGAGACTAAGTTGTCATTTTAAAAAAAAATTAAAAACAGTATTAGAAAATGTTTCACATGACACAAGAAGAAAGATTTTACTGAAAAGCATTTTGCCTGCCGATATTTGCCAGTTTTATGTTTGACAACAGATGCTATGCTGTCATTTTCTGATGCCTCCATTACTATTCATGTTTTTTGAGATGGCATTTTTATACCTAGCTGTTTTGTTCTTTATTCTTCATAGTCCCTTCCTCTCTGTGCTGTTTCATTCAGATATATCCTCCTCATACCATTTTCAGCCCCAGGTTTTTAGAGTTAGAGTTCAGGAAAGAGTCTGCTAGGGAGAAACACTGTCCAGGAAGTCATCTTGGAGCCTGGACTGGGAGTTAGGAGATGGTCTTTCTGGCCAACCATAGATCTTAACCTAAGGAACAGGAAACTGGCATAAGGGTAAAAGTAATAATAACAATAATACTAGTGCATATATAGATTTGGCTTCTTTGGATTTTGAGGATTTTAGAAGCAGATTTTATTTTGCTTAAAGATCTAATAACTTCAGGACTTTGAACTAATTTAAACTGAATTAGAAATCAGAATGGATCACACTAATTTGCTGAATTCTAGTGAAATGAAATTCTATTTGGATACTATTCAAATATGTATGTGTTTGAACATACAGATTCACGTGAACCATTTTAAATTAGAGCTAAATCTGTATGTTTCCCAGACATCTGTATTAAGATGAAAGAAGAACACTGAAACATTTTCCATATTGGTCCTATATTTTATCAGGCTTGACTTCCTGTTCTCAGTTCTGATATCATCACCGGTGTCATCATCGTTGCCAGAAATGGCGGGCTGGCTGTTTTAGGTCCAATGTCTCTGAAAGTCACGATTAGGAGAAGAGAGGCAAGCATTCCTGGGTGACACTCGTCTCTGAATCTAGACTATCCCATGGAGAGGAGTCTGTTTTTTTATCTAGATGGTTCATTCAGCTGAGTAGACCAAGGTCACACATTCTGCATTACTTAGGTTTGTTCTGTCCAGTAACTACCTGTCCTAGAGTTACATTTAGTACTTAAAAGCACAACCAGTGAGTTATAGATGTGGACCACTGGTCACAATGGGGACAAGATGAGAGAGTGAAAATGGATTAATGCAAATCCAAGCCCCTGCTAAATAAACAACTCTGAGCTTAAGTCCTATTGATGACAGAGGGGATTATAGATACAGTGCGTTCACTAAGTGTTGAAGAAAAGCATCTGCGCTCATTTCTACTTTGATCAGATGGATTTCTTTTGCACAGTGCAGTTATTTGGAAAGCATGTGATGTGGAGTCCTTTTCAGACCTCTGAAAAGCAGCCACTTCAGGCTGGAGGATAACAGTTATGAACAGCTGGACAGCAGGTTCCTAGCAGGTTAAGGAAGGAAATAGCAGTGAGTTCCCATTGAGAAGTCAGAGCTTAGCTTGGCTGAAGGCAGCAACTGCCTGCTCTGTCCTTCGTGCAGTCTGTCCTTTCCACAACTTGCGCAGAAATGCCGCAGGAGTAAAAGCACGTGTGGGTTAGGTAGACTGAAGGGGATCTGACAGAATGGAGGAAGGATGCAGAGAGGAAAATCAGCCTCCTCCTTGTGCTCCCGTGACTTCTGAGTTCATGCTGAGCGCAGACCTGCCTCTCTGAAACATGTTAAACCGCTGATAAGCCTAATAATGCCTACCCTCCTTTTCTACTTGACCTGAAAGTCCCATCATTCGAGTTCTTCCTTGTGTTGTATAAGGCCATTTTTCCCAGAGCTCCACTAATAAGACATACCAGGAAAGGGAAAGCATGAACATAGTTGCACCTTTGTCAGATTGGGTGTTGAAAAGAAAAACACAGAAATATTGTGGAATGGCAGTCTAGATAGGTAAATGTTGGCAAAGGAGGGGAAAGAAATCAGGAAGGTCAGGAGCAGAGATGCTGTTTACCTGAGCTGTACATATTATAGGCAGATTCTTGGGCAGTGGGGAGGGCATGAAAGGCAGCCATCACACACTCCAGAGATCTCCAAGGGTTGCCTCTACAGCTGCTGTTTAACCGCATTTGCTGCCGAGAACCTCACCACAGGTGAACTTGGTGGATTTGCTGCTTCATTCCTTCTTGCACATAAATGCTCAAAGCAATGACAACCATCTTTCCCTCTCTGAAGGGAGTTTCCTAAGATTTGTCTTGAGGTGTTGGGTCCCTGGCTATGCCTAACTTATACTACAGGACTGGAATGGAGTCTTCCAGAAGGAGGTGGAGAAGGGAAAAGTCTCATCTGGGAAGAATTCGAAAAGGTAACATTGTTGCCTGGATGTCTTTCAGGATGTTTGGACCAGGAAGAGAGTACAACTTCACTCGGCCCAATGAGAAGGGAGAGTATGAGATTGCAGAAGGAATCAGTGCGACCGTATTTCGCACGGTGCTGGTGTGTAGCCATTTTTGTCACATCCTTTTCCCCAGAGATATGCTGTGGTCAGCAGCCTTGAGAGTTCCATCAGCTATGTGAGGGTCTTTGGCTTCCATCATTTCCTTTCCCTTTTTAAGTCGCTCTTGCTGTGTGAGCTCTATCAGTTATCAAGTTCTGATTAAACATGGCAGGATGCCAGTAGCTGCTTTGCCTTCTAATGAGTCATCCATCTTGGTGATAATTCCAGTAACCTGTGACTTTAACAGAACAGGATTGAATAGGGATAAAGTAATTTTCATCTTGTTCTCTACCTGCCTCTCTTCTTCCTAATCTCTTTACAGGATTATTACAAAACTGGTATCATCAACTGTCCTGATGGCATCTCTATTCCAGACCTTAGAGATACGTGCGATTATCTCTGCATTAATTTCGACTTCAACACTATCCGATGTCAAGACCTGAGTAAGTACATGGGCTTGAGCATGCACTTGAGCAGCTGAACTGTGCTTGGAAATAACTGATCCTTTCTATTACTAAGCAGAAGGCGTTTCAAGTGTGGGTTGAAAATCATCTGCAGAGGCAGAGATGTGATACTAACTAACCCATCCCCTCTCTTTCTTCAAAGCACTGTGAGGAAGTGGAGTAACCAAAGGAAAACAGGTAGTAGGTTCTAACCCTAGCTTGACCATTGAGTGACCCAGCTAGCTAACTGCTTCCCTCTCGGGATGTGGTGTCTCAACTCTAACAGACAAGTACACTGATTGCCCAACATGAGGAAAGGCTCACTAATAAAGTCAAACAGCATAAATTGACTGGGTTCTTCTTATATTATTTTTATCTATTTTTAAAAATTGAGACAGGGTCTTGCTGTATTTCCCAGGCTGGTCTCGAACTCCTGGACTCAAATGATCATCCCCTGCCTCAGCTTCCTGAGCAGTTGGGATTTCTGGTGCATGCCACCATGCCTGGCTGTCATCATTATTAACTTAGTGTTTGCTAAGTGCTTTATAGATGTGGACCTGCTTAAATCTTTTAACAATTAACCCTGAAAGATGGGTGATCACCTCATTTAACAAATGAGAAGACTGAGAAGTTAGCTTGTTCAAAGTTCTAAGCATTAAAGCCAGGTAGGATTAAAACTCTGATTCTCTGACTACAAACTTCATGTTCTTACTACCTAGGCTTCCTGCAATTACTTAAATAATTATTCTTTGAATGTCACGGTGCATTTCCCTGCATGTTGCATGAAGGCCTCTGGACTTTTGGTTTCTCTACCGAGTCTGTGATGTACTTAGAGTGAGTCCTTTGGTGTCACCCTAATTCGTATCATTCTTCTATTGTGGTACTCCAACTCCATGAAGTCAAGGTCCAAGGCATCTTCAGAAGAGGCACTACAGGGCGTCATTCCCAAATGATGGTTCTATCTCTTGTAGAAATAACATTTATGATCTGGCACTGTGTGTCCGACAAAACCTCAATTGATCAGAATGCTCAAGGATTATTAAACAAGAATGGTAGAATATGAAACATAGCTTACCAAAGTCAGCTTAATTATCACTTTGGAGTGGGAGACAGTCTCTTTAGCTTTAAATGTGCCACTTCTCTGGACCGTATCAATGATAACAGCTACTACCTCACAGTCTTTTCTCTCCAGTAACACGTGCATTTAGACAGAAAGCATGTTCATCTACATTTCTCCCCCCAGGTGCTTTACTGCATGAACTGTCTAATGACGGTGCTCACAAGCAATTTGATCACTACCTCGAAGAGCTGATCCTGCCCATCATGGTGGGCTGTGCCAAGAAAGGGGAGCGAGAGTGCCACATCGTTGTGCTGACGGACGAGGATTCTGTGGACTGGGATGAAGACCACCCCCCACCCATGGGGGAAGAATATTCCCAAAGTAGGAGCTCCCCACATAGATGTTTGTGACAAGAAACACTCTGCCCAGAGTAGCAGCTAGAGCCTAGTCCAATGCTGAGCCTGTGATACACACACTCCCTAGGATGACAAAACCCTAGTGATGCAGGTCTATGTTGGGAAATACAGTGAATAAAGTTCAGTACCTCTGGTGTCTGGTACTGAAACAGCACATTAAATGATGGTGTCATTCTTCATGTATTTCATTTATAAATCCTTTTGAATTGCTAATCATTCACAATTCAAAAAATATAAAGGGGCTGGGCACAGTGGCTCATGCTTATAATCCCAACACTTTGGAAGGCTGAGGCAGAGGGACTGCCTGAGCCCAGAAGGTTGAGGCTGCAGTGAGCCATGATCATGCCACTGCATTCTAGCCTGGGTGACAGAGTGAGACCCCAACTAAAACAAAAACAAAACAAGGATATACTTTAAAAATCTTGTTCCCACCCCTGCCCCATCTACCCAGTTTTACTCCTCAGTTTCTCTTATATCCTTCCAAGTAGTTTCAATACACATATATAAACAATTATTTGTTTTCCCCTTTTTTCCAAATGATACTATATTATACAGACTGTTGTATACCATGTCTTACATAAAAATATTACCTGTTCTTTTTTTTATGGCTGCATAATATTCCATTGCACAAATGTGCCATATTGACTTAATCAGCCTTGTTGTTGGGCATTTACTATAAATTATAAATGATACTGTAGTGAATAGCCTTTTAAACAGTCTTTTCACGTATGTATTTATCTCTACAGAATATTCCTAGAAATAGAATTTCTGTGCCAGAAACTTTGTGCCTTTATAATTTTGATAGCAGCTACCATATTACCCTGTCACCTGTAAAGGTCATACCAATTTATACTCACAAAACAGTATGTGACAGGTTTCTCACAGCCTCACCAAAACAGTGTTTTAAAGACTTTGATCTTTGCTACTCTCTTAATAGGTTCAAAAGCAGCATCTCATGATCAGCATGAGTTTTCTCTTGCATTTCTTATTTCATCAGTGAGACTGAGCGTCTTTTTAAGAGCCATTCTAATTTCATTTTTTGCTAGTGTATTTGTGGCTTTTGCCCATTATAAAATTAGATTGTTAGTCTTTTACTTATCAATTTGTGAAAGCTCTCTGTGGCAGTGCTTTCTGTATATTAAGGAAATTAGTACTTTGTCATATGAGTAGCAAATATTTTTCCCATTTGGTTGTCTTTTCAGCTTTGTTAAATGGTGGTTTAGGCTAAGCAGAGGTGTTATGCTTCCATACAGCCACGAGTTTTTCTTTTACAGCTTTTAGTTTTATGTCATACCCAGAAAGGCCTTCGTCATCCTGAGACTCTAAAAATGTCTCTTACGATTTATGTATTATTTAACATTTAATCTTTGATCCCTCTGGACTATTAGTTGGATCTTGTAGACTGCTCTCCCTCCTCTTATAAAGGTCTTCACTCCATGACTAACCCACATTTTTTTTCTTCTTCAGTTCTTTATAGCTCCAAGCTGTACAGATTCTTCAAATACATTGAAAATCGGGATGTTGCAAAAACAGTGTTAAAAGAACGGGGCCTAAAAAACATTCGTATTGGGATTGAAGGTAAAAAAAAAAGAAAGAAAAACCCCAGTCATCAGGTGGGATCTTGGCCACGGCTATGTCCTTGAAATTCAGCTTTTAGAAAGCTTAGAGAATAGGTGTACATGATAAACCACAATCCCATTCAGATGTGAGGGACTCCTCATTTTGTTTTTGTCCATGTATTTCTTTTCATTTTATCTCCAGCTGAAAATGCTTTAAAACAGCCACAGGAATAGGTTCAGGTTTACTACTCGAGGATGAAGAGCAGTGAGGGCAAACACACTGGTGGGAAGTTGTCACAGGACCCACGGCTCACCAAGTGGGATGTGGCTGTTTCTGGAATCTGGCAGCATTCTTGGAAAATACAGCCATAGTCTAAACTATAACTTAAGACTATTCCACATCATTGAGGAACTACTTGAAGCGATCTCAAGCAATGGCTCCCAGCGTGTGGTCCTTCAGAGCCTAAATCTTGGAGGGCCCCTAAGCAATCCTGGGCTCTCTCCGTGGCTCTTTGACTCCTGTACTCTGCTGCTTTAGCTGACTCACTTCTGCCCACAGAACCCATTGGACCTTCATTGTGTCTAATGTAGGTTCAGATTTAAAGTTGGAAGAAATTTTTGAGATTACACCTTAAGCCTCCTTGCACTATCTTTCATCTCTTGGGAAGCCCCAGGATGTTGTGATAGGAATCACCCATTTCCCAGAGCAGTCCATCAAACTCTTCTCATCAGAATACTCGTCCTACATGCCTAACATGATGCTTCCCTCTCCTGCCTGCCTTCTAGTTATGGCATCCAGAGCTGCTTGGAATACAGTTTTTCCCATTTGCATGTGACAGCCTTTCTGGTAGCATTCCTGGTTTTTCTTTAGGCAGAACATTCCTTAACTATTACATTTCCTTAACTATTTCTCATATGGTATAGCCTCTAAGTAGCAGAATGAAGAGGCTTGGAGTAGCCATGCACTGACAACATTTCTGCTCTGTGGTATTGTTTCTAGCAACTAAAGCTTCTTGAGCTAGTAAGAGCCTTCTCTCCCCCTTCCGTTAGAAGGGATAGAAGGCATAGAATGCTTACAGTCCCTTCTAGGGACAAGAGCAGGAGGAAGTGAACATGTAGGTGCTTGGGACTGAGAGAACACGGGGCATGGACTGTTCACTTCCCACGTGATTTTTCATGCTGTCTATGGATTTGGGAGAAAACGGATGTTGTTAGGAAGGAGGAAGTGTGAATACTAGAGAGAGCAGTTTGCCAGAGTCATGAGAATGGCCTTTCTCTCTGCTTCAGGTTACCCTACCTGTAAGGAAAAAATTAAGAGAAGACCTGGTGGCCGGTCTGAAGTCATCTACAACTATGTACAACGCCCCTTTATCCAGATGTCATGGGAGAAGGAAGAAGGAAAGAGTCGCCATGTGGATTTCCAGTGTGTTCGAAGCAAATCTCTCACTAATCTGGTAGCTGCTGGAGAGGATGTCTTGGAGGACCAGGAGATCTTAATGCATCACCCACCCCAGGTGGATGAACTTGACCGGCTAAATGCCCCACTTTCTCAGATGGCTTCTAACGACTTTCAGGATTAGGGCCAGCTGCGGGTCCAGCCCTTGCCGGAGCTCTTCTCAGTTAGGCATGCCTGCGGCCAGTTCTCCTTGTCCTCCCATGGTCCGTCTCACCCTGATAGGAGACATGCTCTCCCCGTCCTTTCTCTTTCTCCCACAGTTAACATGTGTTCTTTTCAGTAAGTCCATGCTTCCGGCAAGGGATGAAGAAGTACTCACTGGTAATTAGCTACCAGCTTTGCAGCAGCCCTGGTCACTTGAAAAATTTGGGTTTGGTGCTGTTCACTGAGTCTTTGCATAACTGCAAAAGCAAGAAGGGAAATCCAGATTCCTGTTGCCTCGTACTTAGCAAAGCAGTCCTCATCCTTTATTCTTGGGTTTTGTTTTATTTTCTTTGATACAGGCAAATTGCTTAGTAACAAAGGGACCAAACTTAAAAGGAGGCAATCTCTATCTTCTGACAGTAGGCACCAATGGGATGCTCATTTGAGGTAATGAGGATGCCATTCTTAGTGGTCGCTGTACCCAGGTTACATCTGGAGCAATCTTGTTCAAAATGTCCAAAAGAAAGTCTTTAGAGATTAAATTGTTTTGTTTTTTATTAATTCAATGAACAATCTGAAACCACATAGATTCTTTGTCAGGAAGGAAAATGGAATAAGTGTTTAGAAACCTTTTTAGCTTCAAAGATTTTTTGTTTGTTTGGGTTTTTTTTGAGTTGGAGTCTCACTCTGTCGCCCAGACTGGAGTGCAGTGGCACTCCCGGCCACTGCAGCCTCGACCTGCTGGGCTCCGGCGATCCTTCCGCCTCAGCCTTCCAAGTAGCTGGAACTACAGGCGCACGCTACCACGCCCGGCTAATTTTTGATTTATTGTAGAGATGAGGTCTCGCCAAGTTGCCCAGGCGGGTCTCAAACCCACGGGCTCAGGCAATCCACTCACCTCAGCCTCCCAAAGCTTCAGAGTTTTTGAGCCTCAACAAATTGGTAATTCATTTGGAATGAAACTCAGAACTCCAGAGGAAGAACTTATTCAAATCAAACCAGTTGGATTATCCTGGTCTGGAATCTGGTGTGAAGCCACGGGTCTTGACACAGGCAGCATATTGCTGTGGGTGCAACTGGAAGACCTTAGAAGTGGCTTAAAGGTGGCGAGGGCAGAAATTTCTCACAAGTGCTCAGTTTCTCAACAGAATTATAAGAGGTCCAGGGCGGGTGGTATTTGGGATGAAGCTGGGTGGCAAGCATCCCCTACACAGGTTCTCCCAGTGCAGAACATTTCTGTGTAAGTCTTCTCATGCCATGGTATTTACTTGGATATCAGTATATTTCAGTGTTTGAAATAGCCTAATAGCTGTTTATACCCGGGATAAGAAAATGATACTAATGTCAGCCAGCCCCAGTGGAAGGATGAGCTGAAGGGAAATTAGACCCTAGTCATTTTGCCTGATCTGTCGGCACTGTTAACGGCACATGGTGGATGACAACCCAGATCACTTTCCCCAGACCCCACTGCACTGAACCACCCTCCTCCCTCTTCTTGGCTATTAACAGCAGAGCTAAGTTTAGAGTCTGGAGTCAGATAGAAGTATTTGGGGTTTATCTCCCACTTTGTGGTAGAAGTTGACTTTCCAGTCACCCACCCAGGGCATCTACTCATCACAAATTTTGAAGAGGCACATAGTTTCCTTCAAGTTCTTTAAGAACATGACTGATTTTTCTTAATCCCACTCCCATAAGATAATACAGGTTGGGTATCTCTTTCTGAAATGCTAGGGGCCAGAAGAACATTTGGGATTGTTTTCAGATTTTGGGGTATTTGCAGAATGCTTATTGGTGGAGCATCCCAAATCTGAAAGTCCAAAATGCTCCAAGGAACAATTCTTTTGAACAGCATGTCAGCACTCAGAAAGTTTCAGATTTTGGAGCATTTCAAATTTCAGGTTTGGGATGCTCATCCTGTGTAGGGCAAGCTACTGTATTCCATTTTGTGACTGCCCTTATCACCAACCTCCAAAGGTAAGGAAGTCAGGTGTCAGAAGCTTCTCTTTCCAGGCTTGAAGAACAAGAGCGTTCTTAGTTCTCTGTGCATGTGACCAGCATCACAAGGGAACTCAGTGCTCTCTTCTTTACTAGACAACAGTAGTAGACCAGGGTTGGGCTGAGCCATCCCTCACCTAGGGTTCTGCTGACAAACCCTGGCATCCATTTGCAAGGCTGATGGCCTGGGCTAAGGGTTAGAAGGTGGTTTTATTTCTGTGGAACGGATTGGCTCATTTGAGGTCGCGTTTAGTTTTGACCTTCCCAGCACCACATTCATCCCCACTAGCAGCTGGCCAGCCCAGATAATTAAGTGGTGCTTCCTTTACGCTTCTCAGTGGACTTCCATACCAGTACAAAGGAACTCTGAATTATCTCATGTTTGTGTATTCTGTGGTAAGTATGTATAACGTCTGTTTTGTAGCTTATGTGTTGTTCACATAAGTGTAAAAACACCCCACAGCTGACACTTTAATTAGTTCTTGCTTAGGAAAGAAGCCGGGTGTGACTCTTTGTTCTGTGTAATCGATTAACTTCCTCAGGCTTTCAAGAACTAGGACTTTCTCCCCCTAGTTCTGAGTTAACACACTTGGCCCCGAACCTGTGGGGTTTGAGTGAACTGGAAACCTGTGGAGGTACATCTAGTGTCGCCGGGTGGCGCTGAAGGAAAAGCTGGGACCACAGGTTCCTTCTGGTGGAGAGGAAGGTGTTGTCTGCTCTCCACCCCCCCCTCCCCATCTGGAGCTCAGCATCACTGTGATTCGTGGCTCCCCTCCGCCAAGCCTGCCGCATCCCCAGGGTCAGACACCCCACCAGGGCAGAACCTCTCTGTCCTCGCAGGAACAAGGACTGGGTTGCCATCATCCCCCTCAGTCCGGTACGGGCCAGATGAGCAAGAGGTGTTTCTCTCTGATGAAAAAGGTGGAACTCGGGTTTGATGTTTATTCCAAGTGCCTAAATAAGTAAGCCAGGCTGTTTATACAGAAACATTTTCATTGAAAGTTGTTTTAGCCAGAGTAGCTTACTCAGAGTATCTCAGCAAACCAAGGTCAACCCGAATTTGAGGTTGAGAATCTTGAGTTTGTGTCAATGTCATGTATAGTTGAACCAAAAGCATTTGCCACTAGGGAGGCAGAGAGGGCAAGGGGACAGTGTTAAAATGTGTCAGGTTAGCTTACTCAATGGTTTCTCCTAAATAGAGAAAAGGGATTCAAAGAATGACAGCAAAAAAGTCTAAGGAAGAAAGCTGGATTTACTGCACAGTATGCAGTGGACGATATTACCGTAAGCTAACGCCTGAGGGAACAGTGTGATGTGTAATGTATGCAAGTCTAGAGAAATACTGTGGAATAAGCCCAAGTATAGGTGTATTTGCAAATAGTGTCCCATAGCGTCCTTTAAAATACTCAAGACCACAGGCTTGAGTAACTCAAACTCTGTCATAAAGTGGGATGTGGAATCTTTTTAAATCAAGTGTCATCAGAAAGTTAAGAAAAGTTTTTTGTAATATATTCAATGCCACTTCTTGCCATCATTTTGAAATTGTTAAAATGGGCTGTGAGCTCAGAAAGCAAATCTGATGCCTTCGTGGGAGCTGGAGCCACATTTGTTCTGGGTGGGATCACCTCTGCAGGAGAACATTACATTTTCTCCTAAAGGCAAAATGCTTGTAGGTTTTGCCACTTACTTTATATTTACTTTTAAAGTTGCACTTGTTCACCTACCAGTGTTTACGAAATCCTGTATTGGGATGCTTTTTCTATAATAAAAGACTACGACGTGTGTACGTGTTGTCTATAGCATAAACTCAGAACTCAGGATGTCCTAAGGGGCAGCCCCTGCACTGCCCCAGCAGAACCTCTTTCCTAGAGAACATGGAGCTCGCCCTGAGCCTCCGTCACTCATGGTTCCAGAAGCCTTGCTCTGCCTTCTCTTGAGTTCTGCTAACTTGCACCAAGACCCCTGGATGTGCAAATCTAACTAAGGGACAGCCAAACCTAAGATTGAAAGGCAAGGGTATCCACAAACTATTGTGTTCTAGTTTTGTTTTAAAGCAAATAAGGCATGATGGCAGAAGTGAATAGCAGGTGAAAAGGGTTAAGAGGGAATCCAGACAGGTACCTGGGAAACACTGGTGGTACATGTACTGAGGGGAGCTATGTACAAAGGTGCTAAGGATTCTGGCTTGGGCATCTGGGTAGACTCAACTTTAAAAAAAAAAAAAAGGTATGGGAGCAAGAGGAGGACAGCCTTAGCCCGAGACTGCAGGAGGCCTTCCAGACTGCGAGTTCTAGTGGGTGCTTGGCTAAATGGGATCTGGAGCTCTGGAGAAGGGCCTAGGTCAGTTGGTCGAAGGGTTCCTGAAGACTTTAGAGCAAAAGAAGTCGCTGTAAGGCAAGTACAAGGAAGATGAAGAGATCATACGCCTCAAGACAGCAGAGGCACTGGCACCAGCATTTAAGTGGAAGGCAGAGGAGCTAAGGAAGTCGGGTGGGAGGAGCGTTTTTTAAAAAAGGTCAACTGTGAGTATAGCCAGGGACCCCAATGGATAAGGCATAACATCAGTGAGCAGACGAATGATACTACTACCAGCATGTTGTGTATGTGGGATGACTAATACCAGCATGTTTCACACATGGCACAGGCTGAAGTGGAGGAAAGGGAAACAAGTGACAAGGTGCCCACAGGGTGCTCCTTCCACCGTGCTTCACACAGGAACACAGCCCCAGGCCTCCAGCACTGCGCAGGTCCAGCCTACCAACCTACGAGGTCCTGATGCTAAGGTCCTTCCCTCTGCCCAATCACTGCTACTGAAACAGAACACCTCTGGGAAGCTTCTCTCCACTACCCACAGCACTGGGCTGCCTTGTCAGCACTCTGCCACCGGGACCCCGATGGAATAACAGATGCTGCATTGTCAGGCTACTTAGCGGGTGAGAATTCGCTCATACAGCTACAATTCGGCTGCCTGTGCCTCCTCAGAGCGTCTGGGATTGAGCCCTGCATTACAGATGCTGGAATGTTGTTTGGGCAAGATGCTTTCCTCTGAAAATGTGAGTGAAGAGGCATCACGGAGGCTGTTTTTAAGTCTGTTGGCCTTGACAGATCCTTCCAAGAAAACATATGCTCTGTAGGAAGTGAAAACGGCATTCATGGAATTCTTTTGCCTTCAATTGAAAATACCAGTTGGGTTGCACACAGAGGCCCAGAAGAGACAAACATGACAAGGTGATCCAAATGTGTTTTCCAAGGAAATGATTCTAGGAAAAAGCATTAGCAATCAGTGGCAGAGTACTCCTCAGGCCTTCCAGATAAGTTCTGAAATGAGCAACCTGTTATTCAGAGCCTGAATATTAATCCCAAAGGAGCCGGTACGGTGGCTCATGCCTATAATTCCAGCACTCTGGGAGGCTGAGGTAAGAGGATTGCCTGAGCCCACAGGTTCGAGATCAGCCTGGGCAACTTGGTGAGACTTCATCTCTACAATAACTCAAAAAATTAGCCAGGCATGGTGGCACGTGCCTGTAGTTTCAGCTACATGGAAGGCTGAGGCGGAAGGATCACCTGAGCCCAGCAGGTCGAGGCTGTGGTGGCCGGGAGCGTGCCAGCGCACTCTAGCCTAGGCAACAGAGTAAGACTCCAACTCAAAAAAAAAAAAAAAAAAAGTAATTCTAAAAAGAAACTGTAAACTGTGACGCAGTCCTGATTCAGAAGAGACTGACATCAGTGTTTGGTTTCATTGTAGTATGCAATACAATTAAAGTTCTATTATTTTCTAACTCTCACAATGAGAGTAGGAAACAGAATTATCTGTGAACGTGGTCAACGCTAAGCCAGTGTTTCCCATCGTGTTGCCTTAGACAATGCCCATTCTGGCTGCACTTGGCTTCCTCTGCCTGCAGTCCTCTGCTCGATGTGGGCTTGTGCTCCTCCCCTCTTGCCTCTTTCTGAGGCTCCTTTCCCTCCCCTGAAAAGGGCTAGCAAGTGGGACAGAAAGGACTCCTCTGGTGCGCAACATGGCAGACGCAGAACCCTGCTCTGGTGGACACAGAGGGCCGAGAAATCCTATTCTGTGAGTCTGTAAGATTCCTGGTCGACCCCAGGCTGGGAAAAATGGGCTGTACACAGCTGTCCAGCATGTCCACCACTGGACAGCACTTTTGTCAGCAGGTGTCCTTGGCCGTACTGCAAGGGACAGGCCCCGCTGCCCTGTAACACTCAACCAGGCGGAAAGACCCCATGCAATGGGGCCAGCAGAATTCTCTTCATATGGACACCAATTCAGAACCCCAGCTCAAAAGCCAGTCCCAGCTTGAGACAGAAAAGCACTCTGCATGACGCTGGTGATGCAGTTTTGAAACTAACATCTGAAATTAGGCGTTCTGATGGCCTGGGGACAAAGGAGTTAAAAGAAGCCACAAGCACTCTGCCTCTGAATTATAAGCCACATTTGCTGTAAAACACATCACAGAATTCCACTATTGTTTTCACACAGTTTATTCAGAAACTTGAAAGAAAAGGTGGGCATTTCCCCCTAAAATCATCCTCTGCCACTCCCCAACAGAGACTTCCGCTGCTCCAGTCACTTCTCTCTGCCCGCGCTCACCACACACACTTGCGAAACACACGAGGTGAAGACCTCGACGATTTGGTAATACAAAGAAACTACCAAGTTACACAAAAGAATCTCACTTCCTTTTCATTAACAGGCTATGGATGCAAGAGTAAGGGGCAAACACATTACCTTCCTCCAGAGTTAAGACTTCCCTGTCTTCTTTTTTCCTTCCTCTAAGATGTCAAAACTCAAAAGCAGTTTCATTAACAACTCTAACTCTGATATTCCATTTTTCATTCCAGAATGGCTAAACTAGGATACTTTCCTTCCAAAGCTGATCTTCACAACCTCAAGACTGGCAGAAACCAGTCTCCCAGTCACAGCTTGGCCATGATGCCCTGCAACAGGCAAAGTTCCCACACAGGTGCAAAGGATGCTTTCAAGGGTTATCAAAACCTTAAAAAAAGTAATAATGCATTAATATGGAGCCTCCACGTTCTTCTGACAAAATTCCTCTATAGGTGGTGGCAGCTGTGAAAGAGAAGGCACTTTGTGCTAAAATTCTAAGGGCCTCTCATGAGAGAACACCACAGCCCGAGCTGCAGCAACCCTTTAGGGTGGGGAGGAATATCCCCCAGGAAGGCATCTGCAAAGGAAAAATGTGTAGTCATGATTCCAAGGCAAAATGGCTACTTAAAGTTGGGAGAGAAGAAATACCAAGAGAAGACAAAATGCAGTTGCACCAGAACTAAGGAGTGACCTTTTACAAGGGCTTGTCAGCTGCCTCTGTACTTTCTATTGAAAGTGAAGGCTGGTTCCTTCACCCTTCCCAGGAGGTTCTGGAGACCTTGCAGGAACAGGAGCAGCACCTTAGCCAATAGGGTCCCAGGTCTCCTGCCTCTGCCTGGGCTCTCCTAGTTATAGTTCAGAAATAAACTAATTTCCTGTTGGCAGCACCTGCAGATATTGCTGGTCCACACATCATCTGTCCGGGGTTTTCTGACAACAGCTGTGAAGAAAAGGTGAGGGCTTTCCACATGATCCGGGATTCCTTGGCAATGCCCAATGGCTTTTTGGGCCTTCTAAGAGCAAGGGATCAAGCTGGCATCCCCCCCATCGACACTCAGAAAAGCAGCATGAGTATTTAAGATGGGGGGAGGGGGAAGATACGTCAATGCATTGAGGGTCTTTATCTTAGTACCATAAATAAAGTGCACCATGAATGGAGGCTATAAAAAGCCACTGGCTGGAGGCCGAGGTACAGGGAGAAACTACCATCACCACCCCTCACAATGGTGGGTCACTTCCTTCAGCCAGATGCTGGCTGCTGAGACTTTCATTATTGCTTTATTTCCTTAGTACTAGGGAACTTTTACTATAAAGAAGAAGAAATACTTGGTGGGCTTGGCAGACCACATGTTACAAAATCACAGGAACTGGCTGATATTCAATGAGTAGTATGTGTTATAATCTCAATGATGGATGATGGCAGCTTTTCCCCTTATTCTGATGAACTTAGGAAAATTCAGGTTGTTCTTAAAACACCTATCAAATTGGCTCATGATGCTTCTGAAGAAGCAGGACAGCTTTATGAATGATGTAGTAGAAGTGGTTGTCTTCATTCTGTCGGCTTTCAGATACATGATGGAAGAAAATCCACTTACTATCACATTTCAGGCGATTTTACTATGACATATTGGTGGGTTCCATAAGCTTCTTGGAAGCGCTTTCAAGAGTATGGGAGAAAAACCATGATGTAGTAAAGAGAACTCCACTCTACTTAAGATCCCATGACAAGGGCACTATTTCGTTGCTTTCATGTAGGAAGGTATCGCCCCTCTTGCAGTCAGGCCCTCGAAGCGCTTGTATGTGTAATTGATGAAGACCCAGTCTTTGTTCTTGTAGTCAGTCTCAGGGTGATTACTTGTGGCCACTGGGAAAGAAACAGACGTGAGAATTGATTCACTGCCTTGCTTCCAGTGCACTACTTGCAGAACTGAAGACAGGACATCCCCAAGAACACACCACAGCTTCTATTTGGGAAAGGTTATTTTTCACTGAAGTTTCTATATTTTCTTGCCTATGTTCTTAGAATCTCATATTTCTTCACAAATACTTTTAAAGTTTTCTTTTCCCATTCCTGTCATTTCAGGTTACCTAACCTTTAACTTAATAAATAATAAAAGAATAGATTTTGTGACTTACTCACCCAATTGAGCAGTCTAAACATAGGAGTTGATGTTCATTTTCCTCTCAGCAAGGTTTCACCACTACCCAGCATTAGCAGTGGAAAAGTAATTACAAAGAACCTGAAGAACGGAAATTCTTCTCCATGGTTCTTTACCCTGATTTGTAAACATCACCCCCAAACTAGGGGGAAATAATGCACTTATAAGGCAGGCAGAAGATGAAGCTGTGGTATTACCTGTTGGCTTAAGAATATCAGATTCTGGAAACTCATCAAAGTTTGAGGTATCATCAATGCTTTTGATTTCAATAGATATTGCAGCAGGTCTCTCTCTGCCAAGAATAGAAATGCCAAAAATTACTGTGGGTGGTAATCATATGGATCATGCTAATAAAGTTTTTCTTCAAGAAAGAGCACTGGTCTGACATGAGACTATTCACTTGCAGACAGCATTTACTTCTCTGAAAAGCTTATAAATGCTGACCAATCAAGCCAACTGACTGTATCCAAACAAATGAAAAAAATATATATATTCATTCACAGCTAGACAGACAGACAAAAAATAGAAATGGCTAAAATCCCAAGTTAATGCACTCCCCCTGATGATCTGTCCCATTTCTAGAGGGGAAACTGTCCCCTCTACTAAAGGTGTTCTGCCTTTCTACTAGAGGTGCTGACAAGTGGGGTGGCTAAAAAAAGTGGCAAAAAAGAGGCAGAGGTAAAAATCACAAGGATGGAAAACAGAACACAATTATAAAATGAATGAAACCCCTTCATGCTGTTTAATAACAGTGAGTTATGGCCCTCTCACGGCCATCGGCAACCCTGCCGCCCATAACAACGTTCACTCTCCCCTCCCGTGTACTTTCCTCTCCCTAACCCCATCCATCCTTCACTCCCAGTGAATAGACTCACTGGGCAGGAACAATCCCAGTGGGGGCCCCAAGAAGTGGCTGAGTTCTGGGTAAAAGCAAGGGCAACATGCTGCTTAGATGCTCCCTTCACTACAAAAACCAAAGTTCACTTCACTTTGGAAATAACAGCAGGATTCGATATATCCCATGGCACATGGCTGACAAGAAGCCCAACTCCCAATCTTCACGGGAATGAAAATCAGGAAAAGACCCGAAATTTCTAAGCCGCTCTCTTCTCTTACTTGGCTTGCAAGGTTGGCCCTTCCAAATTAGTCTAAAGCAAACTATAGCCTTTCTGAAAAAATCTTGAAAGTTTTTGTTATGGGTATACCTGATATGTTCCCAGTCAACACCTTCAAAAAAAGAGTTGCTTTTTATTTCCTCAACTCCAGGGGCTCCAATTCTATGTTCCCAATCACAGCAGAATCTGGAAAAAACAGAGGCCTTTCATCATATACTTCAAGGAGTCTCTTCAGAAAAAGAATAAGAATAACCTTTAAAAAAAAAAAAAGAGAGTATCCTTTTTGTTTTCCAAGAGAACAGGAGGAAACAGAGAGAGCCCCTAGGAGATTTTGAAAGTTAAACAAACAAACAAAAAGGATTCACTCATGTCAAAAAGTAAAGGCAGGAAGGAGGTAGAGAAGTATTCTCTAATACCTCAAAATTAGATCCTTGGCTTTCTCAGAGATGGGGACTTCTGGAGGAAAAGTCAATGTCTCCTTCCAGTTCATCACCTTCTTATATGTCTCTTGAGGGGTCTCAGAACAAAAAGGTGGATAGCCTGCAATCAGAAAGGAACTTCAAAGTTTTTACATCCTGGAACTTTGAGTCTGACCAGGATTATTCTCAATATGATGCTATATGTCTTCTGTGACTACTGGATACCTCTGTATGTCCACCTCTCCATATCAGGGACAGGTTTCCATTCATCCCAGAAAGCATCTAAACCAATTTCTCATTTCCCTCCAAACTCCTAAGCCCAAAGTAAAGTGCCTCTAGTATCACTAGGAAGACAGCTAATAGCTGGGGCTGGGAAAAGAAAGGCAAACATAAGTAGAGTTGCAGGTGTGGGAATCACCATGCCCAAAGAAGAATTGAAAGGACAAACATCATTAGAAAAACAACTCCAGACGGGATGCAGTGGCTCATATCTGTAATACCAGCACTCTGGGAGGCTGAAGCGAGAGGACTGCATGAGCCCAGGACCAGCCTGGGCAACTTGGTGAGACCTCATCTCTACAATAAATCAAAAATCTTAGCCAGGCGTGGTAGTACACACCTGTTGTTTCAGCTACTTGGAAGGCTGGGGCAGAAGGATCGCCTGAACCCAGAAGATCGAGGTGTGGTAACCATGATTGTGCAACTGCAGTCCAGCCTGGTGACAGACTGAGACTCCAGCTCAAAAAAGAAAATAAACAACTCCAAGCTGGCTCATGCCTGTAACCTCAGCACTCTGGGAGGCTGAGGCCGAGGTGGGAGGACCACTTGGGGCAAGGAGTTTGAGGCTAGCCTGGGCAACACAGTGAGACACCATCTCTATAAAAAAATTTAAAAATTAGCCCACCCCTGCAATTCCAGCTATTTGGGAGTCTGAGGCAGGAGAATCGCTTGAACCCAGGAGTTTGAGGCTGCAGTGAGCTATGATCATGCCACTGTACTCCAGCCTGGGTGACAGAGCAAGATCCTGACTCACAAAAAAGAAGGGGGAAAACTTCATCCCAGGAATATCTCCTTATATGGGTAAAGTGTCAAACAAGTTGAGTAAGGAAAAGTATATGTTTTAAAAGTGATTGCCATGCTTCTTTTTGAGAATTACAGGCAAGAGGATAAACACTCGCATACCACATTACCCATTTGCTTTTCACTCAGGGTACCCCCACATCTACAGGCATCCTTTCAACGTTCCCAAAGACAATGCAGCCAGACAGACTTACTCCAGGCCACCATGGATATACTTACTCTCCTAGTGCTCACTGGTATATGGCCACCTCCACAGACACATCCCCTAAATACACAGACCCACCAACCCAGTAAGAGGGAGTAAGGCCTTTGAAGGCTTTGAGAGATGAAAGGGGCAGCAAATTAGGAGAGGAGGAAAGGCCCAGCTAAAATGCTCTGCATACAATGGATATTTAATAAATACTAGTGACTAAAAGCTGCTAGAGGGCTGGATGAAAATGTAGAACAAAGAAAAACATGAAAAACAATCAGCAAAGCAACCACAGGATGCCAGTAAAGCCCAAGAACACAATGGGATACGCGTGATGGCAAGAGTTTTCTACCTAAAAATTCACTTTGAAAGACAGCGGGAAAGTACTGAGACCCCCCCAGCTGAAAAGTCAAGTATCAGTGTAGATGGTCTTTCCTGAATGCACAGAAAAAATCCTCTGGAAACATAAAACTTACCGATGAGCATCTCATACATGATTACCCCAAGCGACCACCAATCGCAGAGCTTGTTGTACCCGGTCTGCATGAAGACCTCAGGAGCAATGTAGTCAGGAGTGCCTACTGTGGAGAAGGCCTGAAACATGGACAGCACGTCAGGGGGCCCAGCAAAACGGGAGGGTGCCCAGAGTCCTGTTCTGGAGGCCAAAGGCTACAAGCACCACCTGGAGTTAACCCCAAAATAATTAAGCGGGTCTGTCTAGTAGCTTGATCTACCAAGGCACTTTCCAAAATGATCAACTTTGTTAATGAAGCAGAAGACCCTTCCTAAATACACCCAAAGCCCATAACGTATCTCTTTCATAATAACTAGTACTATAATTTACCAAGCTCCCATTAAGTAGTAGGCTGTGTACTGTTTAACCCTCTGCAACTGGATATGCCCTCCGAGGGAATACTATATATCTAGTAAACTACTCGGATGTCCCCTCTCAGTGGACACAATGAAATTGTTGACAATTATACAGAACAAACTTATGCTAGCACAAATTTTTCCTTGTTTTTTTGATTCGGAGTCTCACTCTGTTGCCCAGGCGGAGTGTAGTGGCACACTCAACTTGCTGGGCTCAGGCGATCCTTCTGCCTCAGCCTTTCAAGTAGCTCGGCTAATTTATTTATTTATCTATTTATTGCAGAGATGAAGTCTCGCCAAGTTGCCCAGACTGGTCTCAAACCCCTGGGCTCAGGCAATTCTCTAGCCTCTGCCTCTCAAAGTGCTGGGATTACAGGCATAAGTCACCACATCCAGCAGATATTTTTCAAAAATGTATGTTTCCTTGAAGTTTTCCATTCAAACTGCACAAAAAAGCAAATAAGGAGAAGGATTATATAGTTGAGAAGTAGCTTTTAGAAATCATGAGTGCGTCCCTCCACATCTTCTTCAAACAGATTGGGCAATAAATTACAGATATATATAGATATAGATAGATAGATAGATATATATATTTTTTTTTTTTTTTTTGAGTTGGAGTCTCACTCTGTCACCCAGCTCCCGGCCACTGCAGCCTCGACCTGCTGGGCTCAGGCAATCCTGCTTCAGCCTTCCAAGTAGCTGGAACTACAGGCATGCGCTACGCCCGGCTAATTTTTGATTTATTGTAGAGACAAGGTCTCGCCAAGTTGCTCAGGCTGGTCTCGAACCCCTGGGCTTAGGCAATCCTCTTGCCTCGGCCTCCCAAAGTGCTGCAATTACAGCCTTTGAGCCACTGCACCCGGCCCAAATTACATATTATTAATGTGGGAGGAATAAAACAAGACTGCATTGTTGCTCGCATAGAAAAATACCAGGTGGAAGATGTCAAATTACTATTGCACAACATGTATCAAAGAACCTGCAATGCATGTCGGTGATTATTTCACACACTACCACACATTAGAAAATGTAAGATATAAAATTTTGATATTTTTGTCATAAATAAGTTCCTCAATGTCCAAAATTCCATTATAAGCCAAATATCATTACAATAAAATAACTGGTTCCAACGCTATACTATTTAACATGAAGTGATTCGTTTTTCCCTATTCGTAAAAAAGTGCAATCAAGTTGCTGGCAGGGGATCCATGAGATGTCTCTGAGTGCAAAAGCCTTTTTAGTCCTGGCAAAACTTCTCCAAGGAGGACCTTATTAACCCAACTTTGCAGATACCCAAAATGGCTTTGCCCAAGGCCTCAGAACTATAAGTGACATAGCCCCAGTTTAGAAAGTAAATATCTTGTTTCAAGTCATCCCTCTTTCCACTATATATATAATCATATTCTTTGATTTGAGAAGATCATAAAGGGAAGCTTTATTATCAAAAGCTAAAGTTACTTCCCATAAGACAAATGTTTATAAATGACTATTTACCAAGTTTAATCATTTCTATAAATAGTTCTTAGAGGAACATTTTCTATATTCACCATTCTAATATATCAGGACTGCAAAATACAAGGAGGAAGTGCAATCAAAGCCTTCTGATGTGCTTCACACTGAGGGCTTATCAGGTATAAGGACCTAATCCAGGTGCTTTAAAAATTACATAACTTTCAAGTTAAATATTACAGCTGCATTGTCTTTTAAAATAATATGAAATACCCAAACTAAAGAAGTTAATCATCCTCCATAGTTTTCTCAGATCCTGTCTTTCTAAAAGAAATAAAACTACAGAACAATTAAAGCTCTGCCCTATATATCCCCACCCTTCCCCAATGAATTAAGAACTACTTTGAAGTTGCTAAGCTGTTCTTACATAAATATGGTCCAGATAACAGTATTACTTTTTGCATATTTAAACTTTTAGTAAAGGGTTTCATACTATACTGCATTAGTCTTCAGTGCTAGAATTTGCTTATTTTTACTCAACACTATGGTTTTGGTATTTATTCACATAACTCTAGTTTGCCAACTTCTCTGCTGTATTTACTGTTATATGGATAAATCACAAATGTTTTTATCTATTCTTCTGTAAGTGAACACTTATGCTGCTTCCATTGTTTCACTATGACAAATAAAGCCTGAACAAACATTCCTGTAAGACCACCTCAGGCACTGTGCAAGAATTTCTCTAAGATATTGACTAGAAGTAGTATTGCTGGCACTGGGTTATGACTGTCTCAGTTTCATGAGCTCTCTCCAAAGTGGCTCGTCCTATCCAACCTAGCCAGTGAGGATGAGTTCCTGATGCTGCACATCTCACCAAGACTTGGCTGTGTCAGATTTTAAAATTTTTACCAATCAATGAATATGAAATGGGATCTCACTTTAAACTTTTTATTTTTTTTAAAGACAGGGACTCGTCGTGTTGCCCTGGCTGGAATGCAGTGGCTATTTATTTGTAAGTGTGATCGCAACGCACTGCATTCTCACAAACCTGGCCTCAAGGAATCCTCCTGCTTCAGTCCCGAAAGTAGCTGATTATACCACAGCACCCAGTTGGGATCTCATTGTAATTTATATTTTAACTAGTCATCCATTTCTTTTTTTCTAAGACTCCAGTTTGGATCCTTTGCCCATTAGTTTTCTTTTCTTCTTCTTCTTTTTTTTTCTTTTTTTTTTTTTTTTGAGTTGGAGTCTCACTCTGTCGCCCAGACTGGAGTGCAGTGGCCGCTCCCGGCCACCGCAGCCTCGACCTGCTGGGCTCTGGCAATCCTTCCGCCTCAGCCTTCCGAGTAGCCAGAATTACAGGCATGCGCTACCACACCTGGCTGATTTTTTGATTTATTGTAGAGATGAGGTCTCGCTGCCCAGGCGGGTCTCGAACCCGCGGGCTCAGGCAATCCACTCACCTCGGCCTCCCAAAGTGCTGGGATTACAGGCTGAGCCACTGAGCCCAGCTTATTTTTATTATTTTTTAACGAATGCTTGTTACATACCAAAAATAAATGTCATATACATACATGTGTAGTCATCAATTATGACACAAAACCGTGAAAATGAATACCCATGAGTTCAAATGAAGAATCAAACAACACCAATGTCATTAAAGCTAAACATGTACTCTTCAGCCGGGCTCGGTGGCTCAGCCTGTAATCCCGCGCCTTTGGGAGGCTGAGGTGAGTGGTCTGCCTGAGCCCCCGGTTCGAGACCCGCCTG